TTTAGGGCGACATAAAATTTAGCTTATGATGGATTTGTAAACTAGATGAAGTGGCAGATCTAATCAACTACTAGGAAGTTGCTTGTGATTTATAGCTATGACAAATATCTTTTCATCTCATGTCATCATGGGATCCTTAAGGGTTTAAAATTACTACTTCAAATTTGGTAACTAGTTAACGTTCTCAAAATGAAAACAGATGCTTTTCCCTCCACTAATAAATATAAGCAGTTAATAATGTGTACCTAGCTAATGCCTAATGAAAGGAAGAACAATTTGAAAATAAATTGTCTCTTTTATTAACTGAGGGTGCAATAAAGACAGAAACTATTACCTTTTAGGCACATATGTTAAAAAGCATGTGTTTTAATTTATTGAATCCTGCTATATGTCTAGATATGTTTATACTTAAGCCATTTCTTATCCTGATAATCCATTCTACTCTTTAGGAATGGATTTCTCACAACCTTCTGTTACTTCTTTAGATTTCTAGCCTCACTTTACATCATACAAAGCTCATCTTACAGAATATATAGTTGGAAACTATAAATGAACAGAAAAAGAATGATGAAAAACATCAAGTGATTCCTGACATGTAATTGTTAGGAAACATTTATGAATACCCCAGTCACCAACACTGATATACATGTCATAATTAGGCTCAAGAGTCTGTTTCTTAAGTATACTATTATCTCTTTCTTAACATTTTAATGTAATACGAGGAATCCAAAGATGTTCCTTTTTCAAGACAACATTAAATGTAAATTTTGCAAGTTTCTGAATTCATCAAGACAATACACATGAATTAGACTGACAAAGCAAAAACTAAGTACACTGCCATTGAGTTGATTCTAACTCCTAACAACCCTAGAGAACCGAGTAGAGCTGTCCTGTGGGGTTTCCTAGGCTGTCAATCTTTATGAAAGCAGGCTGCCTCAGTTTTCTCCCATGAGGCGGCTGGTGGTTTCAAAGTGAGCAGTTTAACCACTATACCATCAATGTTCCTTAGTTGATAAAAGGCTATTTAAAAAAAAAAAAAAAATCAGTATATACTTCCCAACAAACAGAAATGATTTTAAAAAGATGTATGCTATCACATTTGTGCTATCCTTCAGTTTATAAAAAGGAAGCTAAATAAGTAATATTTCTATAGTCTTGGGGAGTGGGTAAGGGTAGAAATGATTTTTGTTGTTAACATATTGTTTGTTTTTTTAAATTGCTAAAAACTGAACAGTACTTACTGCAAAACAAGAACAATTTTGTGCTGAAATTGAACCAAAAAAATCTTGAAAATTTCTAATAAATGTAACATACACCAATTACTATTCAAAATGCTTTACAGAAAGTAAAAAGTTGGATGGCAGATACATTGAGAATACCCTTCCTCACATTAAAAAAAACTTTATGATATAAAATATTCAGATTCTTACAGCTATAAAGAATAAACTATGAGACCTCCTTTCAAATGCAATAAAACTAGGTTGAACCGTTATAAAAATAAGCTACCTTTTTGAGAGCTGGGACAAGAAAGAGATGATCTTTTTAGAATGGAAAATTCTTAATTTTAAAAAAGAATAAAGATGCTAAAATAATTTTCAAAGATTTTCCCATTTGATTTTGTTCAATATATTCTCTTATCCGATTGTAAGATAAAATGTAGGCTTCACTGAGAAGAAGTATAATGCTACATCAGTTCAATAGTCATTTCTAGGCAAAAATATAAAGATAAAAATTTTTTTAAAGTTCCTCCAAAGTTTTTTGTCTTAGTGTTATTTTGTCCTTAGCAACAAGAAGGATGCCACTTTAAGATCGTACATGTTTATATCTACATGGCTATAAGCTAGTTAGGTTTTTACTAGCTGTGGGTTGTGGATGTCATTTTTTGGTAAATTTTCAGCTGGGAAGAAATGGACCAATTCTGGAGTTTGAATCTGGGTAACTGGATATTAAATGCACAGAGTTAAAAGAATTTTAAAAAAATAGATATTTGTTTCAAGATAATCTCCTGTTAAAATAAAAATGTCCAAGTTTTTAGCATAGTGTTATTACAATAGTAGATGAAATGCTTGTCTGAGGTACTGATGTTTCTTATTATTATTTAGTTAGAAATGCAAATAAAATAGCTCAAATGTTAAATTCATCTTTTTAAAAATCTAACTGTTTAGTTAAAAATCACTGCTGATATATTTTCATAGCATGGATTTTCATTGATTTGTAAGGACTAATGAAATATGCAGACTGATATTTCTGAGTTTTTGTTATATAACAAAACAATAATACCTCAACAACATTAGACTATATTATCCTTATTATAATCTGATTATCCCACTAAGCCAATTTTATTTAAGAGGCTGGGGATAGCCAACATAAATATTTCAATCTTGATCTATTTTTGAACATAGGTTCTTTATTTATGGACTTTTCTTGTTTATTATTAAGCAATTAGACAAATGGTAAAAAGATACCAATTTTAAAAAAGTTCTTTTGAAGTATGTACAAATGCCTTATATATTATCCTTTTAGATTTGTAAACTATTATGTTTGCTGGTTTCTTTTTCCCCAATTCAAGCTTCTTAAATACACACTGCAGAATATAAATGTTATACTTTAACATTCTTTAGTTATAAATTTTATTACCCTGGCTAGAATGAAAACAGCTAATGCTTTTTGTGTATAAGAATTCGGACACATAGTCGAATAAGTAATGCTTATTCCGGTGTGGATGCAATGACCAGTGCCACAGTACCATCAAACTGTGACCTCATATATACAAGAGTGCTTTAAAAAGTTCATGGACAAATGGAATAAAAAAACAATAGAATTTTCCCATGAGCTTTTGGAATCTTCCTTGTATGAAGAGTCTAAGAAAATAAAAGTTCTGTCTTTTAACTTCCATATAGTCCATGCATTGTAGAACCTCCTATGAAATTTGTAATCATTATTGGAACCCTGGTGGTTACAATGATTAAACAATTGACTGCTCACCAAAATGTTGATGGTTTGAATCCACCAGCCACAACGCAGGAGAAGAGACCTGATAACCTGCTCTGTGAAAACAACAGCCTAGGAAACCAGAGTGGGCAGCTGTATTCTGTCCTATATGGTCGCTATGACTCACGGCACACAGTAACTGGAGAAACACAAAGATCATAAATCTGGTCCAAAGCTGAACAAAGGAAATAGGGCTGTCCCTGTTACAGTTACGTTTCACGCTTGGCTTTCTGACAACAAAGTATATACTCAGCTGCTGCTTCTTACAAAAAAATCCCTCATTTAAAAAAAAAAAAAAAAAATTAGAATTTTTAGAAATATAATTTCTTCTAAGAAATGATATAATAAGGAGAATGAAAGTTATATATGAAAACACAAAAATAGCATGTAACCGATGCTGAAGGAAAATGAAAAAGAATATCTTCTAAATGCTTGGTATCTTTCCAACCCTTTGAGAGAACTCGATTGGGTAGGTATGTCGGTGGGTAGGAACCAGGATAGGGGCAGTAAACAGAAATGAAAACTTCTTATTTCGTAGAATATAAGCCCACTAACAGAATCGGGCAGTGTTTCATTCTGCTGTGCATAAAGTCGCTATGAGTTGATACCGACTCGATGGCACCTAACAACAACAACAAATAGTTCACAAACACTTTTATTTTCATTCACCTTAATCTGTGGGTATAATTTCCCAATAATTTAAGTTTGATCAAGATTAGTGTTCAGACTTATTTTAAGATAGTCAGATTCTTAGATTATTTATTAAATAAATGAGGGTAATTACAATTTTAAATAAATACTTTAACCCTTCTTGTCAAAACTTTCTGTTGATTAGGTTTGACTGGCTTCCTGAGCCCCCCTGATGCTATCTTCTCATGTGACTTTCTATATACTACTAACACTTACTGTTTTATGGCCTTATCATATATTCTTATTGTGATCAGACTTCTGTGATTCATGTAAAGAAAAGACAGCACAATACATGGAACCACTTTTGTGTTTACTCCAAAACCTTTCTAGCATTGTGTTTGAGAAAAAATGAAAGCATTATTAATATTTAGGCTAACTGTTCTTAATAAAAAATAAGGACTCAAATCAAATGATACAGTTTTTGAAAATTCTTAATCACCTTTAGCTTGGTTTAACATTACTTATTTGCAGTTTTTAAACAAAACTAACTATAACCTGAACTTCCAAACAGCAAGTATATGACATAAAATCCTCTTACTAAGTGACCTAACTTTAAAAAACAAAACAAAACAACCTAATTTTAAGAACTTTTTTCTTTTACAAAATAGTCTATGGTGCAAGAAAATGATTGAAGGAAAACATATGATATTTTGGGATTGAATACTTAAGCCAATATGGAAAATTAAGTAGAAGGCATTTCATTTTCCAATGAAAGATAGTTTGCATTTATATAGCACCTTACATAGTCAAAGTGCTTTACAATCATTGACAGCCATTTATCAACTTGTTTGTGTGTGTGTGTATAATTTACAATCTGTCAACAAATATAAGCACTTTTGAGGCAATGAAATTACCCAAGAAGCTATTCAGTAACAAACTGAGGGACTAATATAGAATTAAGAAAAAATGTAAAAGTGATCTGTCATAAAATATCACATACCAGAAGTCACTTACTTATTTATCTTAATGACTGATATTAGGAAGTTAAATATTAGGAAATACTTAGAAAACAAAAGGGTTTACATAAAAGAATAAGTAAAGCAAATGAGGCACAAGTCAATAAAGAAACTGCCCAGAAGGTAAGGCTACCCATTACTTGTAAATATATGAAAAATAAATCTTTAGGTGTGGAGGGCAACAAAACTATATATGTCATAAACATTGCTAGACTTTGATACTCAGTTACTGTGATTTTTCCAAAGCAAAAAAAAAAAAAAAAAAATTTAATGCACTGCCTGATTTTTTTTCTTCTATAATTTCTCCCAAATAACATCACCAATGCATTCACTTCTGCCAGCAAACAATATCGCAGGAAATAATGAAATTCTATGAATTTATGTTTTAAAAATAGTTTTCAAATCTTTGGACAAATTTAAGTTCCTATAAAATAATATGAAAACTATTTTTTTCCCCTCTAAATAATCTTATCAGGTGCCTTATGTAACATTTGTTAGCACCTCTGCCAATGTATTTACGTCTTTGCAAAAAGTGCACTTTTTCAACCATTTTATACAGTAAGTATGCAAGTTACTTGAAGTGCATGTGGAAAACAATTTAAAACACCGATTAATACATCATAAAAAGATTAATTCCCTTTAAACAAAGACATTCTTATAAAGCATGGTAACACCGAGGCACAATTAACAATATAAATTGTATATCAATTATTGGCAGAAAATTTAATTCATTACAAAGCCTACATCATTGGGGAAAAGGGCATTTTCATACAAAGAAAAGTATTACACTATTATACAACACTGTTAACTGGGCATTAAAAAATTTTGGCACATTAAAAGGAACTTAAAGGACTACAAAATAAAGGACAGAGAAACTAAAACACAGATACAGGAGAGAGAGAGAAAGTCCTAAAATCAAAAACAACTAAGTATTAACATACAATGAAGACAAAACATAAGCTGGCTGAATTTCCTGAAATGTTGTTATCTGTAACAGAAGTATGTTTTGATGCAGGTTGTTCTGTATTTCTAACGGCAAGACTTCTCTACCTTGCTGTGGCTGGTTGAACATGGCCTGGGTAAGATCTTCTTGAGCTGGTGGCTTGTCTTTGCCTAGCCAGAAAGGACTGCCCTGAACCTGTACTAGCAAGTCTATCTTCAGCTGCCTTTTTATGCAGAGTCATTCCCTGTAACAGAAAAAACTCATCAGTGAAAACAGCAGTATACAATCTCACAAAAGAAAATTGCGCCATGTACAATTTGTTACTTTGCTTCAAAAGGTACACTTAGGATTATTAATTCTTGTCATTATAGAACAAAGCCATAACTTAAAGAGGCAGTAAGTCAGCAATTGGGTTATAAATCTTCCTTTGGAAAAAGTAAGCCTTAATTTTCTGAATTTACAATAATCAAAACAATAGATAAAGTAGACAGATTTTTTTTTTTTCATAACACAGCCATATTTGATCATACTTTCCTTCCAAATCAAATGTATAGTGATTTTCCAAGAGAAAAAGTGTAGTTGATGAGTGGTAGTTGATTCACAGGGTGTTTTAGAAATCACAGGGTTTTTTTGGAACAGAAAACCACAAATTCACTTATTGTTTCTTAAGGTGCAAAAGCCACACCAAGTATAATACATACCCCATGCTGTTTTTCCCTTTACTTATGGCACACCTGTATTCTCAAACAAATTAAGCAAAGTTCCTGGAGGCCCATAAGAGAGGGACCAAACAAGATGCAGAGATATGTGGTCTTTCTTGACAGTAGAAGACCAAGTACTTACTAGCTTACGAGGGTGAGGAGCCAAAACTGCTGGGCCTAAAGTACCTTACCCCAAACCCAGTGTCATCAAGTCAATTCAGACTCATAGCAGCCCCTCAGGACAGAGAAGAACTGCTTCTTAGGGGTTCTGAGACTGTAAATCTCTACAGGACCAGACGGCCTCATCTTTCTCCCTTGGAGTGGATTTTAACCACTGACTTTGCAGTTACCAGGCCAATCCTTAACTTACTGTGTCATCAAGGCTCCCTAGAGTCAGGAGGGAGGAAACCTCAAGTTGCCCCCTGAATTTATGAGGAATAATCACAAAGACAAGGAGCTGTGGTAGAGTAGTGGTTACGAATCGGGCTGTGAACCTTAAGGTCAGCGGTTCGAAACTACCAGCTGCTCCGCGGGAGAAAGATGAGGCTTTCTACTCCCGTAATGATTTACACCCTCGGAAACCCTGTACAGGGTCGCTATGGGTCGGAACCGACTCGACGGCACTTAACAACAACAACAACAATCACAAAGACAGTAATGATGGAATAAAAGTCAACTCTGAGTAGAATGGATCCTGGTATGGTGTTATAGGATAAGCAATGGAATACAAAGGTGGTTTGAACCACAAGGTTGGTGGTTCAAACTCACTGGCCACAACTCGGAAATCCTATGCAGGGGTGCTAAGAGTTGGAACTAACTCAACGGCTTTAACAACAACTGAGCAGATAAGAAAAAAAAAAACTCTTTTCAGGACTCTTTTAATAAAACCAGTGGAGACCCCTAGCCAAAGAAACAACTGCTGTTTAACCTGACAAACAACTGGCTACAACTGCTACTTAATCTGGCAAACAATTGACAAGAGAATGAGGAAGTTAACAACTGAGAGAAATAAGCAATAGGAGACAAAGGGATAGTCAAGAAAGACCAAATTTAAAAAAAAAAAAAGGACTAAATTTTATAAATAGTGGCACAGTTTTCCCGGAAAGAAATGTTCAGTGCACAGAAGACAGTAGATTGAAGGATAAATCTTCCTACTGCGAGTTAGCTTTTAGGAAAAACATGGTCATGGCTTGCATTTTCAGTATCGTTTCACTTTACCATATAATCTAAATAAACAACATTTCTCCATTTTCCCAATGAGAAAATCCAGAACATGTTTTCACTCAATTTGAAATCTACACATTTAGAGGTTTGAATAAAACAGATAAATAATCTTTAGCTTACTAATTTAGTTATACATGTTATTGTTATTGTTAAGTGCTATTGAGCTGGTTCTGACTCATAGCGGCCCTATATAGGGTTTCTGAGGATTTAAATCTTCTTGGGAGCAGAAAGCCTTATCTTTCTCCCACAGAGCGGCTGACAGGCTTGACCATAGACCTTGTGGTTCACAGTCCAGTGCTTATTGTATGGAGCCACCACTATATATATAGATATACATACATACACACTATATATATATATATACACACACACACATAATCATTTTATATAAAATATTAACATATTTAACATATACTAGACTTTCACATATCAAGCAATTGATTCAAATTCTTTAGTCTTTGAAGAACTTAGAATCACTATTGTCACCAGGGTTAACTAAGAGATCCAACACCTTTTTCACTTTCGTTTAAGTTGTTTGAGATGCAGGACTTTGTGAATGGAAACACGATGATGTTACTTGTTACCTTATTTGAATATAACTTGAGTGCACTTATAGTTATTCCTTCACTTTCTGGACAGTTGAAAATTAGGAGGACTGTTTAGTATCATTTGCCAGAGTAAATAAATTTGGATGCATAAAGAAACACAATAGAATGAAGTCATTAAAATCAATCAAGAAGATGAAATAAAGTGGATTAAAAATTAAAGAAATGAAAGAGGATTTAAGTGCAGCCCTCCAACCAAGATTGCTCATGGTAAATATTATTCAGGAGGACAAGGAAGAAGCATAATAGTTGGAATCGTGTCTAATTCCCAGAGAACTTCTTTAAACACATAGCTTTAGCCAAATCAGCTATAAATATGAACATGGCACAGGAAATTTATGAATTTCTGACAAAGATCTAATCACATTTTTAGGAGGCTTGGGACAATAACCTTGAAGAGCCAGTTTCAATTTTAACTGTATAAAAGGAACAATGATATTGTGTCAAAAGCAAAACTACAGGGTTAGAGGGGGATACTGAAAGGAATTTGATCCAGCTTCCTGTCACAGACAAGTAGCACTCTAATAAGGTAGAAAAAGTGGTGTTGCTGGAAAGAACAAAAAAGACAAGAAAGTCTAAGAAAAAAGATAAACAAGAAGGTACAGCAGTCTTCAAAATCTCATTATCATAACTAGAAAATCTAAATGAAGCCTAGAATCTTGGTAAGCATTAGCTTTAGCAAAAACTTCAAATATATTTTCACTGAAATATATTTAACTTTTTTTTCTGTTGGACTAATTCATTTGAAAACCTTTAGGTGTTCAGAGTTTGACACTACCAACATTTTCCAAATCCTGTGAGGTGGTTAAAACTTCTCAGTGCAAATAACCCTCCTGCAAAGGACACTGAAACAGCCCCATAAACAAAAGCTCCCACACCTGTGTTTAGGTAATACTAATGCCTCTCTCCCATGGGATATACAGCTCTGATGGGCAGAAATAAACTAACACTTATTTTTCAACACACCAAAAAATGATGTTTTCAAAGTGGTTGTTCTCAGATCTGTGTTTAACCCTAAGATCAGCATTAAGGTTGGTTAGTGTGTGTTAAGACAGCAATTGCTTCCAGATTCATTTGGTAGAATTATTTCTACACTAAGGGAAATATAATACACATGACATACATAGTCCATCAAATTTTGCAATCTGTTTGGAAGTGCAGTTTTCTTACCATATTATACCAGGCACTAACAATGTATTTCTCCTCCATCTCTCTTTGACTCTTGGTTTTCTCAAATTCTTTCTAAAAAACAAGCACATGTAAATAAAACAATTAAATATTTGTATAGACTGCAAACTCGTTTGAACTGCAAGGTCAGTGGTTCAAGTTCACCAGCTGCTCCTTGGAAATCCTATACAGGGCCGCTATGGGTCGGAATCAACTCGACAGCACTTAATAACAACAACAACAACAACAACAACAACGATACTTACAATCCACTGTTAAAATGCATGGATGTGTGAGAAATCCTCAAAATGGTTCATCTTCAGAAATAAAGAGTGCAAGACATTGCTAGACCAGACATATGTTATTGATTCACACCCAGGGATATGTGAGCAGGATGAATTGGGGCAAGAAGGATAAGAAATCTGTTCTAGGACTAAGAACTTTAAAATAAGAATATACCCATCAAGGAAATAGGGGAAATTCACCAGGAAAGGAGGAAATTAAAATGAGAATGCTCCCAGTAAACTAGTAGGTGATGTCTGGACAGACAGTACCCATTAAAAGTGGAACTGGAGGAGGGGCTTTTTCGAAACAGGGGAATAAAATTGTTTGTGGATTGGCCATGCCTTGCATCTACCTATGTCTACTGGGTTGGGTGCCCGATTTTGCAAAATTGAATTTAAAAAACCTCACTCTCGCTAAAATAAGAACAGATTGGATTAGTTAAGCATTTGTCAATATCCACAATGATTCTCACAGATGTAATTGTACAATATAGGAAAGTTACTAATAAAGTAAATACTCAAAAAACAATTAATCATATAGTATAGGAAACTACCTCTAATGAATAGAACTGTCGATCCCGTTCTTGGAGTTGATTTTTAAGAGCTTGTATTTCTGGTGCCGCTCCTTGATTCTGTTTGGGATCTAAAGTACGGATAACCTGCAAAAAGTAATAATGAAAAAATATAACTCTGGAATTTAAAGAATATAAAACATTGAAGGTGCTATTATTAAATAAAAAATCAAAGATAAACATTACGAGATTCAAAGGCTATCTTCCAAGAAAACTTTGAAATGCTATTCTACTGTTGAAACATCTAAATTTTATAATACAATCAATCATAATAAATATTTCTGTTGCTGTTGTTAGATGCCATCAAGTCAGTACCGACTCATAGCAACCTTATACACAAAAGACTGAAACACTGCCCGGTCCTGGGCCAACCTCACAATTATTGCCATGCTTGATCCCATTGATACTGCAACTTTGCCAATCCATATCACTGGGGTCTTCCTCTTTTTTTCTGACCCTCCACTCTACCAAACATGATACCTTTCTCCAGTGACTGGTCTCTCCTGATAATATGTCCCAAGTATGAGAGATGAAGTTTGGCTATCCTGGCCTCTAAGGTGCACTCTGGCTGCACTAATTCAGACATGTATCTGTTTGTTGTTTTGGCAGCCCATGGCACTTTCAATATTCTCCTCCAACACCATAACTCAAATGCATCAATTCTTCTATGGTCATCCATATTCACTGCCCAGCTTTTACATGCATATGAGGTTACTGAAAATACCACAGCTTGGGTCAGAGGCACCTCAGTCCTCAGACTGACATCTTTGCTCTTTAACACTTTAAAAAGGTCTTGTGCAGCAGATTTTCCTAAGGCAATACATCATTTGATCTCTTGACTGCTGCTTCCTTGAATGTTGATGGTTGATCCAAGAAAAATGAAGTCCTTGACAACTTCAGTCTTTTCTCCATTGATAAGAATGTTGTTTATTAACCCAGTGGTGAAGATTTTTGTTTTCACTACACTGAAATGCAGTTCATACCGAAGGCTATGGTCTTTGATCTTCATCAGTACATATTTTAAGTCCTCATCACTTTCAGCAAGCAAGGTTGTATCATCTGCATATTGCAGGTTGTTAATGAGTCTTTCTCCAATCCTGATGCCATGTTTTTCTTCATATAACCCAG